TGTCATTTTGCGCCAAACTAAATCGCAAGCAATTCATATCCTCCTAACAAGATCAAGATTAAGACCAACCCAGGTTTCCTTCCCATGGCGAGGTAAAGTTTCTGTATGGAGTTTTAGTCGGCTTTCAAATTCTTCGACACTTAATGAGGAAAGCTCCCAACAACGTTAGAGCATTATTCGTTAGCCTGTACTGGAGATAATTGTCCTTTCGGTCGTGAGAGGCAAGCTTGGTAACGTTTTATTCTTATTTTATTTTTTATTCCTTTATTCTAATGGCGTTAAACGTAACTTAACATAATCAACCACTACCCACAAATAGCATAGCTAGTCTCGGCGGTCAGTGTGTGGACGCTAAAACATCTTACATAGATTTCGGTTCAACAAAAGATGTAATAAATATATAAGAAACAGAAATTAAGTATTATATCATTAATTTAAAAGCAGAAATGACAGTATGAGATAAAAATACACAAATAGAAACACATGACAATAAATAGAATACATAAGTTATACACTACTATTAACTGGATTTAACTTTTGACACATAATTGATTATTCGTTCTACGTCAACATAACTATCTTGAACTTGAAGATTTTGAAATAATATTGTTGTTAGCTTTATCTTGAAAATATCTTTTATAAGATTCCTTATGTTTCCTGGGATGCTATTCCAAATTTTACAACCAATCCTTGAGAATGAGTTTTTATGTTGATTTAGCCCAGAATAGTTTATGTAATAGTTACCGGTAGATGAAGATCGGGTATTATGATTGTGTATTTGGTGGGAAAGAGTGAACAAACCAGAAAGATTAGGGGGGGTTAAATTGTTATGGACATCATGCATTAAGAAAGAAGAGAGTTTAACGGAAAGCATATTAATTGGCATAATATTAGCCGATATGAAATAAGGAATGGCGTGTGAGTTATAGTTGGCAAAGCTCATTAATCGCACAACCCTTTTCTGGAGTATCAATATGAGACTTAGCTGCTTGGCCCCAAGCTACAAGGCCATATGATAAATAACGTCTTTGAAAATATAGCAAATTGCCACTTTTCTTTCATTATTTTATGAATCAGAGGAGCATTACTAGGACTACTTTCTGGTGGAAAAATAAATTTTCAGTTCAAGTGAAACTTTTAGAGGTCAGTTTGTATGTAGAATTTTTTTTGTTCAATAAATGAGGGGATTTTCATCTTAATTTATATGTATGGTTCACCATATTGAAAAGGTATTATTTCATTCTCGGGGAATCATCGACTGCTTACCTGAGCGAGTAATGAGGTTTTTGCGTCAAGCGTGACGAGTGATTAGCCTACGGCACGAATAGTGTCTCCTTGGCAGAACGCCCACACGAAGCTCGCGAAATTTAAAAACCAAAATGATAACTTTCCCCCAAAAATTGCTATCGTAGCGCAGTTGATGGCGATGCCTAGCTTGTTTATGACTAACGGAGAAAAAACGTGTAGTATCATGGCGTTTCAAAATGTGCCAAAAAAGGTCTGAAAACGTTTCGCTGCGTCAGCGGAAAATACCCACTCAAACGAATTCTGAGAAGCGGCTGCTTCCAGTGTTAGCCCTCGGCATCGACAAAGCCGAAGAAAGAGACTTGGACTAGATTTCTGCACAGTCCACTCCATCCTTATACATCATTATGCAAACAGGTCTTAGATAAAGAGAACAATTGTGAAAACGATAGGTTGTCCTGAGGACAACACCCTTTTTTTATTGTACCGGTTTGTGCGGTGATCTTTCAAAGACTTGCTCTCTCTCTGAACCTAATCCCGAGTTTAATCTCAAAACGAAACATGTTACAAGCGGACACCGAAGCAAGTTATTTGTTTTTCAATTAATGAAATACATGTAGCAGTGTTAGTCTAAGACCAGATACTAGGTTGCATCGCGTTGGAACGTATCCAGCTGCCGAAGTTGTATAGCGTTTTATTGTTTTACGGGGGGACAACGTCCATCTAAGCGCATCTTGAACTTTTCGCTTTTACGGAGAAAGCAAAGTGCGTTAAATCTTTTGATATAACTTTTGAACAAGGTTCATCAAAAGGGTTCTTTGGAAAAAATACAATTAACTACGAAATTTTTCAACTGTGGGTGGATTCTCGATGTTGATGGTCAGTGGCTCTTAACAACCATAACAATTATGAATAAGTAACCACTGTCTACGCCTAGGGTCAATTTAATAAAACTTTTACACGTGTAATCTACAAGTTGGATCGTTGTTTTCACAAGTGCAGACGAAAACGAATTGAATAAACATCGTTACAAGTCCAGGTTACGATACTGCAGGATAGATTAACAAAAACAGAGAGCCACAGTCATTGTTAGTCCATGAACTGAAGTGATGCGTACAGGGCCAAGAAATAAACCTTTTATCGTCGATGCGCAAAAGACTCTTTCACGACTATGAAGCATCTACAAGCTAGCCTTTGATTGGGAACTCTACTGCTTTTCTTCATGTTGTTGGGGTCACAAAGGCTAATTTTAACACATATAAAAATTGGGCTCACTATTCATGAAAGAGAGCAGTGTGGAAGTCCTAAATGTAATAACTTTCCTAAATGTAATAAAATCCTAAATGTAGTAACATTTGGTCCTCAATGTAATTAGGTCCTAAATGTAATAACATTTGATCTCCAACGCAATCGTTTGACTGCGCTGGTGGATTGTTGTTAGAGCGTACATCCACACTGAGGTGTGAAAGTACATTTTTGTAACGAGTCTTTTTCTTAGACTCATCAATGTCACGTGTCTAAATAAAGTTATTCATTCATTCAAAGTGACAGCTATTTTACCAAAAAATCCTCTAACCAATATTCATGTCACATTGCGGGCTCGCCAATATTAGTCAGCATCTTTTTACTTGTCAGACGCAAGTCGAGTAGCATTGGCTACAGACCGTTATACAAAAGGCATCAAATGACAGATTGCAAAATAATGAGTGCACTCACCAATACCTCCCTATATCACAAGCTCGAACTCTTAAGTACAGCAGATTTTGCAAAAATGTGGTAACGTTATACCTGTGTGATCAGTGATAGAGGCACAAGTTATAAACCAAATTACAAACCTGGACAAGGGAGTCTGCAGACTTGTAGGTCGAACAATTTGCAGGCTCGGATTTACATTTTTTGTCTTTCCTTTCTTGACGAGACCTTGTTGGCATGCACATTTTGTTCGCCAATTCGGACCTTGTGACAGCTCTCTAGAGAGTTATTGCTTTCAAATTCTGAAATATCTTCGAGATTATATGAATAGAGACAAGAAAATTTTTCTCCCCAAGACAACATAATTGGGGAAAATTATGTTCTCTTGATCTTTAAATGCATGCAACAAATCCGACAAACTAAAATGGTACTGCATGGGTCTACATCAAATCATATACTCGGTGACTTACATTTAACAGGTGTAAATGAAAAGAAGCTGCTGGCCAGCACATTAAAAATGGTTATTTGTGTTAAAGGCTGTAAATGACGTTCCGGTCCCCAGAAACTCCGGAAAAAATTTGTGCTCTTGCTTTCTCTGAGATGTGGATAAAACTAATCGCGTAAGCCGTTTTTTAATGGTCTACTAATTGATTTAAAGAAAAGAAAAAGGAAGCATGGTTTGCTCGACGCACTGATCTCCTTAATGATCAAACATTAGATTACACAGCATAAACTGACTCTGAAACGGACTTTCCTTCTTCTAAATTGTCAGTGTGAGAGTGACATGTACGTAAAGAGCATAACTTTCTAGTTTCAAATAAGCTTGCAGTAACATAAAAGATTGACCATTAACGTTGTATTGATTGGTTGAGCTGACATTGAAAAAATTCTTGAGTTCAAACATCGACGAAGTTTTCAGTGATTGGTGGTGATAAAAGCAGTAATAAATGCGAAAACATTTCACGAGCCTGTGAATTATTTCAGGCAGTTTTCTTTGAGTTCTACATAGAATGTGGTGCGCGAATACTTCCATTGATTCAACATGAGATTTCTTATCTATTTGTTATCTTTTTAGCATTACTATCATTATTGTGGGACAGGTTTGTGGCCTATAAAGATCGTCAAAACTCCTAAGGGAACAGGAAACCCTCTGCTTTAGCAGACGAGGTCTATGAAGTAGCTCGACCGTGTTGAAGGTAAGGCACAACCACCAATGAAGGAATGGACGAGAGCAATGCGTGTAGCTGCTGTGCAATACTAGAGGGCCGGTGAAAGGATATCAGTCAAGGAAGACCATGGTGATAAAGCACAATATTACGAAGGGCGTCGAATGTTAAAATCATCAGAGTCGAACTAAACAGTGGTTGAGAAATTTGAAAAGACGAAAAGGATCTAGTGCTGGGAAGCTGGCTTGCTCTCTGAGGAACAACCTTTTTAGAAGTAAGTCGAGCTAAAACCATGAGGAAGGAAACTGTAGCGTACTTAGAAAGTGATCCGTGCAATAGCGATGGTTTCCCTCTTTTGGAGCATTTGGTAGAGATGAGTTCGGTCGCTGGGAGGACTATTTAACTGATATTGCGCGAGATTGGACCTATGGTGATCAGACAACAATGTATGCAGCAGCAAACTTGTACAACATCCACATTCAAATGGTGTCCTCTCTAGAAGTTGGTGAGCAGCATGTATTCAGTCCGTCTGCAAGTGTTTCAGCAGCTACCGCGTACCTTGAACATTTTGCGAAGAACCCCGACGAACACTGTATGAGCTTGGAACGAGTTACGGATCACAACGACGGTAAAGAAGAAAACTACGAAGAAAATGACCCATGAAAAAGGAGAAATTTCCAAGGAGTATGCAATTAAAATGCATGTAAAGCAGGATTTTGAAATGAATGATACTGTTGATTATCAGGGTGACACTGAAGCAAAAAGTGGANTAATGCGTGCCGCTCTTTTTTGAAGTTTTAAAATACTTTGGAGATGTTCAACATTGCAGCTATCCCATATCATGCTCCCATACAGGAGGGTGGGCTTTATAACACCACTGTAATAGGTTTCTCCTTGACGTTGCTTAAGAAACGGGCTAATGTGCTTCAAGACACCTATGCGTTTCGAAAGTTTCTTGCATAATTCATAAATGTGCGATTTGTAGTTCATTTCGTTGACTATCTATAACCACTCCTAAAATCTTATGAGAAGAAACTTGTTCAATAACAGTCATCAATCTTGACATCTAAGCGTAGGGGTGTGTCTTCATCCAGCTTAGCAGGAATGTGCTCTCCATACACTAAAAGGGACTTCGTTTTTTTCTTGTTGATGAACATTTTGTTACAATACGCCCATCTCAAAGCCGCATCAAGATTGGAATTTAAAAGGTGGGTCATCGAGCATAGATCCGAGAAATGCGCACTTGCGGTTATTGTAGTGTCGTCAGCGTGAATATCCACAGTTCAATTTGTTAGATGTAATGGAATGTCTCTCACAAGTAACAAAAACAGGGCGGGACCAAAGACACTTCGTTGCGGTACCCGCTGCTTGATAAGTAGAGTGTCTGATCTTTGACCATCAATACTGACAAACTGCTAGCGACCAGAAAGATATGATTCAAACCATGACAGGGAAGGATCGCTCACTCTATACAGGCGCAGTTCGTAAGAAGCAAATTGATTATCAACAACGGCAAACGCTTTTCTAAAATCTACAAAAACCATACAAGAAAGCTTGTCTTCGTCTAGATTGAAGAGGACTTAGTCAATTAAACTGATCAAAGCGGACTCGGTGGAGTGCCTGCGCGAAAAGCTGATTGCAATTCATACAGTAAGCCAGTTTTCACAAGGTAATCCATAAAGGAGGCAGCAACATGCTTTTCGCAGACTTTAGACGATATGGAGAGCACCGAGATCGGTCTAAAATTGTCCCGACAATCTTGGGTGCTGTCTTTGAAGAAAGGTGTGACGCGCGCTAGTTTCCATTTAGTTAGAAAACAGCCACTCGGTATAGACAAATTAATCAACCTCGTCAATGGATGTACAAAAACGGGTGAGACCAGCTTTAGAACTTTCACACTAATT